AAGAGAAAAGAAATAAAACTTTCCGCAACACTAGACCTTTCTACACTTTCGTTTCATTCGATTATGATTCGACGTGAAAGGTACTCATCACCGGGTTTGGTTTTGGGGAGACACAAATGGGTGTCTACATTACCCATAACACCTAACATACCGCTTGCTCGAATCACTCTCAGCTCAACAATCCTACTGTCACTGGTGTTACCTACCTGCGACCTAGATGTCGTATCATCATACTTTTCCCCATGTAATCTTGCCATCTGATCGCGCACAGTCTCTCTGAGAGTCTTAACTGTAGCAGCACTAATACCTACTGTTGTCGATATTTCTGAAACATCGTCGTCTGCAAGAAACGAGTCCATCAGAAGGTCATTTTCCTTAGGTCTGTCAGATTTATGACGCAGACACTTATCAATGAACTGCCTAATCTCAGAGTCTTTCACACTGTATAGCACAGCAGGGTGGTTCACGTTTCTTAATCTTGTCGAAAACAAGTTTTCTGCTCTCGCATTCGCTGTACAACACTTCTTTCTGAGCACGCCCCCATTGATCTTGTTGATCAATTTAACAAGTAAATCAACATGGCACTTTTGTAAATAAAGTGAACAGCATTTGTCCACATAATGAGGGCCATGAATGGTGTCACCTACTCAGCTGCTGAGTAGGAAGGAAGGCAGTTAACGCTGTTAGTTAATGGTAGAAAAGAGGCGTTATAATAATATGTGGTGCACCGTCAACAAACGTGAAGTCCTCATCCCATGGACGTGTCTTGTTCATATCCACATATCATGTGGAATTCAAAAATCCGCACTTACCTCTCTGCTGCTTTGTTCTTAGTCCATACTTCCACATGAGTGAACTCGCAACTAGAAGATTGAGGTGAGTGATTTTGGTATCGCATCAATCGGTTTGTTGGGTAAGTCGAATTCAAAGTAAGTTCATTTCTCATTTGAAGTTTGACTGATTTCAAGAACTTTGTTGATCATCCCTCACACAAAAATGTACGCAACTTAGTTATTTAATGAATTTACTTGCTTTATATAATCCTTATTAGTTGAATCTATGATTTTTATTCACTTAGTCACTTAAATATTTGATTTGATTAGTCAATTAGCAGTTTCAAATACAATGGCCCAGACCAGTTTAAATGGTTGTTTGGTGCATTGATGGTTTCTATGGGCATGGGCCATATGGTAGGTGATGTTATAACGATTGAAATAGCCGTTACGGTGCGAAAAATCAACTAGGCAAACGGTGTTACAAGGAGCTCACACGTAGACGCGCACAGGTGGCATGCTTGCTGAGTCAAACAATGTTCAATTACATCATTGCCCCAGGTTTAATGATAGAAAAGACAATTTTGCCCTGTTGATTTACAAGTTATGTCGATCAAATAGATCAACTTGTATTTTGCGCTTCTTTAGACAGCATCTGTAATAGGGTCAGCCCGAAAGAGAATATATCAATCTCCTCGAAATAATCTGCCTTGCTTAAAATATCTGGTGACAGTGTTTCTGGAATACCATCATAGCCAGTGTACCTTCTTTCATCATCAAGATGCAACGCAAACCCGAAATATCCGAGCTTAAGTCTGCCAACATTTCCATCAACAAAGATGTTTTCAAGCTTCAAATCACGATGAACTACCGCCTACCGGTATATTATGCTTCGTGTGAAGATGATGCAACACAGTTAGAATCTGTTGACACCAGTTCTTGATCGCGGTATTACAGTCCTCGAGAGTATGTTTGCTGATGTACTCTCTCAGATTTCCTGAACTAAAATGCTCAGTAACCGTGTTAGTAACCGTGTTTCGGGCTTCAGGGGTATCATCGGGTGTCCAAGATTGGTAGAATTTCAGAATGTTTATGTTCTGGGAAAGTCGGATGAGACATTATTCGATTGAATTCGTCTGACAACTCTGTTGTCTTACACCAAGCAATTTCTTTACCATCGAACTTATCAAACCCATTATAAACTGTTCTGGTGCCACTTCTTGCTATGATTTTGTCGTACCTTACGTATCGACCTTCCGGACTCACCTCCTCAACTCTGTATTCGTCTTTCGGTGATGATTCTGACGAACTCGAACCCGCCATAACTGATTTTGTTAAACAAACAGAAGGTTTGGGATTGAAAAGATAACTAAGGTTGTTTTCTGGTTTTTGAAGAAAAACAGAGAAAGTTTGCTTATAATTTGTGTTGTTGAAGAAACAGAAAAATTTTGGATCAAAAGGAGAATGTAAAAACAGAATTCTAATGATGGATTTACACAAGGCCAATAAGGGTCAGTTTAAGAGAAAGGACGACTTATATTGATGAATGTAATTTGGAGTGGGTTAGTGAATATCTATAACGGCTTCAGGTAAATATCTAGTTAGTTATGGCAGTTTAGTCGGCTATTTAAAAATATTGTATAATAAAAAAAACTTCTTGAAACTGGAATTTTGGAACGGGTTAGTAGATATTTATAACTGTTTAATGTAACTAACTAGTCATTTGTGGCAGTTAAAACGGTTATCAAGGAATAGAAATACCATTTCTTGATATTCTATTTTTTTTCAACTTTTATGCAAGTATTTTTTTTTTTTTTTTTTTTTTGGAAAAAATGATAAGAAATGAGAAATTGAAATACTACCCTTTCTTGATTTTCTAATTTTATTTTATATAAATATATTTTATAATAAATTTCTTACACTTTAATTCAAGATATTTTTATTCTAAAAATAGGAATTGAGTTGTCTCACGCCATATGTCCTAAGGTGGTGGTGGTGGTGGGACTGGTGGTCCTCATTCCCCTTGTTTTTAAGACCAAACAACATAGAAAATTTTGGGTATCTTCATTCCATTCTTTGTCTTTCCCTTTGTTCATTCCATTCTGATTACTCCGTGTGAACCAAACGGTCTCTAAGTGTAATGCACTTTTTGATCGGAATTACTCAACCACCTCTAATCTATAATTCTTCAGTGAGTAAATTAGCCTTTTTTTAAGGAAAAGTTCAAATTTGATCTCCAAATCCCGACTTTCAACTTTTTGGTCTTTTGTCCAGTCTGGTTTAATTTGATGATATAGGAACAATTCTTGCACCATTGGCGGATCTATGTTGGTGCACACTGAGTCACGTGACTAAAAAATAAATATTTAAAAAAAAAAAAAAAAAAATATCAAAGAGACCGCTTATTGTAAAGAGGCGGTTTCTTTGATGCTATTGATTGCTACAAAGCTTTGCGCTGCGTCAAAGTTTTCTTTTTAAAAAAAATATCAAAGAGACCATCTATTTAGGTAACAAGTCTCTTTGATGCTGCTATTGCAGTTCACATTGTAGCGCTGCTTTTTTTTCATTAAAGAGACCGGTTATACTTAATAACAGGTCTCTTAAGTTATCTCATTTTTTTTAATTAATAATTGTTAATAATTTTTGCTTCTATTTATATCCTATATTTGTGCAACTAATTTTAATATTTTCCAACAAATCTTATCAATTAAGTAAAAAATCATAAAGTTAATGTAATAGTTTATAGTACTATTTGTTTGTAACATATTATTTGTAACTTTCGGAACTTGTAAGATTGAATTTTTAAGTACTAAGAAGTGTTTGGTTGTAGTATGGATTTTTGTGTCCTATTTGAGATTAAAATCAATTTGGTGAAATATTTTTTATATATATAAAATTTTGGATTGAAATTAATTATGAACAAGATTTGAAAAAATTATTTGTACTTTCACAGGTGATTAATAATTGATGGTGACTTATCGTGTCGGAAATCCTGGATCCGCCACTGTCTTGCACTACTTTTAATTTGATTAGTATGCCTCTAATCGATATGTGACTAATAATTATATGTATTCCATTTAAGGCTTATATAAATAATTCAAATTACACATTTTGATCATCACCGTAATAACATTACAAGAGGAATATATATATATATATATATATATATATATATATATATATATATATATATATATATATATATATATATATATATATATATATTCGAAATGACACGATGCAAGTAAATAAATTTAGTTGTTATCCAACATTAAAATAATGTCAATGTAGCAGCTATATACTAATATCAAATTTTTTGAAGGAATGCTAATCAGATTTACTAGCATCTTCATTCTAAATCTATTTATTCTATATCACATTAGAGTTTTTGACATTTAAAATTTAATTTTAGGTCCTTGCTACTATCTTTGCTCATTTATCTAAACGGCCTAATATTCTAAACCATTATGTCAACAATTTATTCAACTGCCTAGAGTTGTTTCAGTCTAGTTATTCCAGGGTTATAATCTTGTTTAATTTGCACTAACAATATGAACAAAGTTGTGAATTCAATAGTTACGTAGAATAACAATTACTCCAATTTAGCAATCGTATTTACAATTAAGCAATAATGTTATTTGATTCAAATCAAACAATTATAACAAACAAAGTGATGAAAATAAAACGGAAGTGAACCCCAACCTCTCCAACACGGCAACACACACGCAACATATGCTTAACAGCAATAATCATACATTTATATATTGACACACTAAGTAAAATTACTAACATAACTTGAATCAAATACGTAATTTGCATTATACTCACAAAAATTAAAATTAAGAAATGTATTATAATTAACTAACTCAGGAATAATGTTCTTTTATTCAAACATTCAAATCAAAGTAATCATACATTATATTATTCAAGCGTACATAAACTAATATTATCAATCTGCCTAGTATCTGCGTTTCACAACCATATAAAAAGGGTACATAACTATCTCCCATTCTAGACCCATGAGAAAACGGAAAAGACTTGTCATTAGAAACTAGCAAATGCACAAAAAATAATGAATTTTAGGACTTTAACTACGCTTGTTTTTGGCATCATCTCTTGGACTCGATCATCCTCATCAGTCGTTGGAAGAAACGGGTCCTTCAAGAGCACACTTGCCGCGGGTCTTTCAGAAGCAGGAGAAACACATCTTTTAATAAACTTCTTAAATTAAGGGTCTGTCACTTCTCCCAGTGCAACATGCATAACACCGGACTGAAATGCATCATCAATGTCAGCCAACTTCTTGTATTCGTTGTATATCTTTTTGCAACTCACCAACTGTAGTACAGTCATCCCAAAAGAGTGTATATCAGCCAAATGATTAAACTTACAGCTAAAAACCTCAGGTGCCCTGTACTCTGGTGCCCTGTACTTTGGTGCACCAGCAGTAGTATTGTAAACATTACTCGGTTCTTTATACACCGCGACACCAAAATCTGCTAGCTTAACCATGCCTGAGTCCTCATCAACAACAATATTATCAACATTCACATCAAGGTGTATAATGTTCTGACTGTGAAGATAATGTAAAGCGCTTAGAATCTGTCGACACCAATCCTTGATTACAGCAGTACTATGAACAAGATCATGTTCAAGAATGTAATCCCTCAGATTTCCCAAAGTAAAAAGATCAGTAATAACATTGATGGTGTTTATTCCATCGTATCAGTAAGTGTAACATTTGAGTATGTGCTCATGATTTAACGACTTCCACAATTCAACTTCTTGACAACATTTCTTTGGCCCTGCTTCACCAATTTGTCCGACATTGGTTTTACTCCAAGCAATTTTAGGGGAATTCTACAATGATCATCTTCAAATATGACCATAGATATGCTTGAATTTTATTGGATAACATTTCTTTCATAAATTGTTGGTCAAACTTACCTTTTCTTATTTTTCTATTTTTATTTCTTTTCTATTTTCTGAAAAATACTTTTTCCTTTTTCGAAATTCTATTTTATATTTCAGAAATTATTTTTCAAAAAGCAGCTTTAATTAAATCCGAAAATTAAATTAAAAAATCTGAAATCAAAAAATATGTTCTTCATTGTTCTTCGTGTTCTTCATTGTTCTTCGTGTTCTTCATTCTTATTCATTTCCTATGGATGAATTTAACCTACTCTTAATAATCTTTGAACCAAAGGGTTACTTTTGCATTGATGATCATCAAAAATAGGGCCTGATCCAAACATCGTATTCGATATTACAAGTTATTAGAATTCCGAGTTTTATCGGCAATGGTATTGGTGAAAAATACTTGAATAATTACTTTTTATTGTACAAAATCCTTCAATTGATGCGAAATATCCGATTTGATGCAATCGAATTCAATAGTTTTTACGTTTTTCAAGAATCTGGGGTTCGACATGAAATTCTAAGAAGAAACCGGTAACATTTTTTTTCGAAACCTGTTTAATCCAAAAAATACACTTATGTTAATCTAACTTTTGTTTGTGTATACGTAACTAACACAAATAGATATTGGACATTACCTGTATGAAACATCTCTAAAGTAAATGGGTCACGACCAAACGTAACATTGGACATTACTAATGAATAGAATTGAATGTCATTTAAATGGTACTCCTTATTTTACGTTGAACCTAGCCAAATTATCTAAATGTATCTAACATAAATATTCGAATAACATATTACGATCTCAATATGTTTTAACTAAAGAAATTTTAGTCAAATATTAGGAAATATCTATAATGTGCGGGGATCTCATCAATATCCTTTCCTAAAATATTATCTTTTGAATTTTGAAAAAATTATCTTTCAAATTTTAAGAATATTTTAAAACATTATCATTAGGTTTTTTTCGCTGAATCATTCTGGCACACTATTCAACCGAATATGTTTCAGAACTTGCAAAATTAAAATTACCTTTGGAACTCAAATCATGGTTAAGAAAGCAGAAGTAAGTATTTTCTAAATTGATTTGAATTTTTTGAACAATTTTTCATTTATGAATATGTTTAAAAGTTTTTATGTTTTGAATGTAGTAATTTAGAATATTAATTTCATCTATATAAGTTTTATGTTGTAATTTTTTGAACAAACTATACAATTTTGTTAAAAATATGCAATCCTCTATTAATGAATCAAAATTGGATATAGGGTTTATGTTGTAAACAGTTTAATTCATATATAATGGTAAAATCCCATCTTCAAATCACTCATGATCTATTCTTTTTCATTGTAGAAAAGTAGTGCAATGGAGAAAGATATTCACTCTAAATTGTCAAAAATTGAGTTAAAATTGGATAAACTCGTAGCCGTAGTTGCTACTATATCACAGAGTATATCAAAGGTTCCAGAATCAACTGATTTTAAGAGTGACAAAGAAGGCACTACCGTCGGTAAAACTCCGTATCGAAATCGTTCTTATTCTCCTTTCTTAAGCCCTGATGGTGAAATGATGGTTAGCTCATGTGTCTCCACCACTAAACGGAAGCTAGATGTGAATGGCACCGGCGAAGTAGTTGAGGTTGAAGAAAAACACTTTATAGGGATTCAATGTTGATTCTTTCGACATTAGAAATATCCGCTTCACTGAGCCACAATTTCCCCCAGGTCTGGAAACACTCAAGGACCTTATTGAGGATGAAGAAATAATGAAGGACAAAAAAAAACTGAGAAAGTGAAAAGCCCCGACATCAAAGTGAAAACTCCAAAGTCAAAAGCAATAACAATAACTGATATCGTTGAATCAGAATCAAACTCGGAGAAGAGGCCGCTTAGGAGGCAAGGCAAAGACAATTGAGTCAAATTATAGATAGCACTGTGATTTTTGAAGAGGTAAATAATTGGTTATCTTGCAATATAATGTTCGTTATTACATATATATAAACTTCAAATATTACTGTGTATAAACTTTTGCTCCCCATTTACTGTCACAGGTACTGTCATCATCATCAAAGCAAAAAACAGTAATGCAAAAGCAAAAGGTGCAAAGGTAATTTTCATCAATATTAATTCGAATATTTGCTAAAAATCTTATGTATTAATACTTTGCAAAAGGTATTCACTTATAATTTTATATGTTATTACACAATCAGTTGTTACTAGTATCATAGCCCTTTTTAAACCATGTACTATAGCAACCTGTTCATTCAAAAGCTGTAACACGCTCGGCCGAGAATGAAAACCAAACTATCTCTGATATGGTAAGGAAATTACCAAAACCTTACTTATTTGATCAATGTTCTGGTGCGAGTTACAACGTTTAACAATAACATTTGTAGGCCAAATCATCAAAATCAAGGAGGCTTAAGAAATGCACATCAGAAGCAATCACTAGAGAGGTGATATGTTGTTAGTTTGATATTGTTATTTGGCAAAGACATAAAAGCTAATGGGTGATTACCTATAAGCAATGTATATATAGTTATGTGTGTTCTAAAGTCCTTTGCATCCTCAGGGACAAAGAACTGCGATTGAAGTACATAGTAGTGATGATAATGGGGGTTTGTTTCAGTTACAAAGAGTGTTTACAACAACCATTATATCTTAATTATGTATCACATCTATCACCTTTGGAGAAACAAATATGTATACAGGTTGAGAAAGCGAAAGAATCTGATACATTCTATTGTACAAAAGATGAAACATTGATCAGGTTGTCTGTGGGTGAATCTTGGTGTTTGTATCCAGATATGTGGTTAAGTAATCAGGTATACTACTGTTACAAATTCCTAATTAAGTTTGTTTTTGGGAACTTGACATTTATTTATTTTCAATTGCAGCTCATAAATGTCTATCTGTATGATATGCTATTGGGGTTAAATGACAAAACTATGCTCATTTTGCCAGCATCATTTCAGGTAATGGCTAAACTTTATGCAGGATATTTCCAATACATGGTGTTTATTTTGCATTGTTGATATGATTTCGGATTATGTATGCTGCTTGTAGACTTTTGTACTGAAGTCAGATCCACGATGCGAACATTACATAACTCCATCCATTCTCAGTTATTGTTCCAAAATTTATGAAGCTTTTTTAAAGCTTGTGGATCTCAGTAAGGTAGAACAGGTTGGAGATATTTGAGTTATGAAATCTAAGTTTTGTCCAACCTAAAATTTTAATGGCTTTGATGATTTGACTGTTCCAAATGTGGTTGGTCATCAGATATTCATACCCGTTAGAGAATCTCTTGCGAATCATTGGTTCCTATTGGTATATCATGTCTCTATCACAAAGGTATACATTGTTGATTCGCTAAAGATGACTATGGAACGAAACCGTCTTGCTATGGATATGGTAACTATCTGACTTTGAATGTGGTAACTACCACTAACAGAAGATACCAGATACCTTTTCTGAAATTGAACGTCAATCTGAATTTGTGATTAGATTAACTTTGTTGCCATTACAATGCGGAGAAATCCCTTGGGTCGATTTTTCAAAAACTCAAAAAGTATTGTATTTGAAGTTATAGATAATCAGAAACAACCAAATGGGTATATCTAACATCTTTCCATTTACCTAAATGTTTTGATTATTCTAATCTTTAGCTAATTTAACTACTTTTTGTTATTCAGTCATGATTGTGGAATGTATGTCTTGAAATATATCGAGTGTGGTGATATCAGGGCCATGAAGGACATTACCTACACGGTATGGATGAAATTTTACTACTTGTTAAATATAACATTTACTATTATCGCAAATTTTATAACTCCCTTGCTATGTTTTTTTTTTTTTTTTTTTTTTTTTTTTTGTGTGTACTTGAACAGACAACTGACATGCGTGTTGAACGATTAAAGTACTTGGCAAAGCTTCTTCTTAGCGAACACAATATTGAAAGTAACATCGAGAGGTTGATTGGTCATACTTCTGTCTGAATATGAAAGCTATAGCTGACACTGTTCAGTCTTAGATTAATTTATGCAAGTCTGTACTGGTATTCATATTGTAACTTCTACTTTGACAAATTATTCAATAATTTTATTAGAGCACTGATAATCTAATAAAATTATATTTTATGCATGTAACAAGGTAATGTCCTGTTTAAATATTTGACAATACATTTTTATTTTATATAATGAATAATGACTTTTTTAACTGTTCGTGATTAGGGGATTTTTATCCACCAATCAGCATCCGACACGTGGGCCAGCCAGGTTTCGCCACGTGTCCTTCATGTAGGCCAATGGGAGCCTGCCACGTGTCATCAAGAGATTCGTCCTCCTTGGACCAATTGCAATGTGACGCGTGTCCACCCATGCCAAATGGGAAAACCGGCCAACAAGGCCCAATCATTGTGGGAGGCCCAGTCAGCCTTAGGTTTAACCTAAACCTAGTACTGGCACGCATCCCAAGCATATAAATATGCCTATTTATCCTCATTAAGGGGGATTACGCACATTTAACACTCTCACCTAGAGAGACTCAATTACTTTTATTTCCGCATTAATTACTCCTTAATCAAGTACTAACTTGACCGTCGGAGGCGAATCTCCAATCTTCCGGAGCATCCGTTTGTTTTGCAGGTACAGACGTCCGGTTCCAGTCTCAGAATTGTAACTCTCCCGCAGGACATCAGAAAACCCCAAAACAGTTCGTGCATTGGAAATTTTTTTCTTTAATTATAGGCATTATATTAAATAAAATATACGATTAAATTATCAATTAAAAAATACAAGTTTAAAGCATCAGGAATAAATTGTTAATAGATTATGTCCTGTTAAAGTGACAGGCAATACATAAGATAATTTCTATTATAAAACTTGCTTCATAATTTAAAAACAATTTTAGATTCAACAGAATACCAATATAGTATTAAAGGTAAAGGAAAAAAAATTCAAGGTTCGCTTATTGAATATGTCCAACTTTATTTAAGGCATTGTATTGTTGAAAATACAGAATAAAATATCTTTTTCTTAAAAACAAAAACTACCATTTATGCAAAAAGGTTATATAATTAATAGGTAATGTCCTCATCCAATTATAAGCAATACATAATACATTTTTGGTTATGAATATATGACTTTTTCTAAATTAAAAACAAGTTTATATTTAATAAAAATATATATACAGTGACAAACGTAAAGGAAAAAATTCTAAGTTTGTGTATTAGAATTATCCTACTTTAGTTTTAGGCATTACATTGTCAAAAATATACAATAGTATATCCTTTCTAAAAACAAAAATTACAAGTTCAAAGACAGATGTATAAATTGTAAATAGATGATGTCCAGTTGCAATTATAAGCACTTTTGGATATTGCATTTTCTATTATGAACATAATATGTTTTGCAAAACGAAGTTAGAGCATTTAACACCTTCGAACATACATAAATAACATATAGAATTACATAAAGTTATAAACCATACCTTGTCCATTTTATACTAAAGAAGACATTAAAAAAAATTAAAAAAAATAAAAAGAAAATAAAGTTGTCCAAACAATACACACCAGCCAAAAGATATGTAATATCCTTATTGCCAAACTGATAAATCCAAACTTCACCATCTTCACTGATCAGCAACCTCAACATCACCTTCCATCGCACTTTTTTCCTCTTCATTGTTGCTTGTCT